AGGAGGAGGAGGAGGAGGAAGAGGAAGAGGAGGAGGAGGAGGAAGAGGAGGAGGAAGAGGAGGAAAATACTCTAATATTGTGTCTACTTCCTGTCAGACAGGAAGATTTGCTTTCTGCTGCTGCTAACAGAAAACTCAACCAATGGTGACACATGGTCAAAATGCCTCTAGTCCTCAGAGACCTCTGAACCTTCAGGATTTATTGGCAGCCTACGACGATGACTGGGAGATGAGGATGTGTTATTTTCAGTGGTCCTCAGTGACTCAGCAGTTAAGGTATAACAATTGCTAAGTGGCAAATATGTGGGGAAGTCTTTGAGTCTCTTTGCTGCCACTATCACAGAATACTACAAACTGGCCAGTTGGCAAAGGATGGAAGTTTATTTGGCTCAAGGCTCTAGAGACTGAAGTTCGGGAGTGTGAGGTCAGCACCTGGCCAAGGCTCCTGCTGAGTCACTACCCGAAGAAGAGCAGGGAGCATGTCCATCCACACATGCTCACAGGAGGGCTGGATGCTCGGTTTTGAGCAGAATAAATTTGTGAGGTCAGACCCTTATGACCAAATTACCTCTTCATACTGTGCCAATAAGAGATTTTTACCGGGCAGTGGTGGCGCACGCCTTTAATCCCAGCACTCGGGAGGCAGAGGCAGGTGGATCTTTGTGAGTTCGAGACTAGCCTGGTCTACAAGAGCTAGTTTGAGAACAGCCTCAAAAGCCACAGAGAAACCCTGTCTCAAAAAAAAAAAAAAGAGAGAGAGAGAGAGAGAGATTTTAACACATTTTGAGAATACACATATTACAGCAAGAAAAAAAGGTCTTCATTTTCAGCAGTGAAAAAGAAAAGATAAAACTTCATGATGATGATGTCAAGAAGACTTCTTCTTATGTCATATTGGCTAGAATGAATTCTTCTGCTGTTGCCATGGTTTTTAAGGCAAAGCTGGGCTCTGGATGCTCCACAGGCTGTGCTCAGAGAACAACCCACAGTATGACAATTAAAGAATCAGTATGAAGAAAAAGCACAGGGAGGGGGCTTATTCATTGGGACAGTGCTGAGAAGAAAAGTAAATAAATCAAGGGGTCCAGTTATCCCCAACCATTAGGATACTGGCACTAGGTTTACATTTAATAGAGGCTGACCACGTGGTGGTGAGGGTGTTCCAAGAGCAAGCTGGCAGATCATGCAGTGGGCAGCAGAAAGTTGGGCTGCACAAGCTGCCCTAGTCTGAATAGAAAGACTTCTCAGAGACACTTAGAAGGAAAGGACTTCTGAGACCAGCAAAACTCTCTTTAGGACTCAGAGCCTCCTGAGGGGGAAGGCCTAAAGTAATTTACAAAAATAGATTAAGGAAATGACAGAGGTCAGGGCAGGGAAGCAGCTTTTCTTCAGGAACTTTTAATTTTTATCCCCGGGGAAGGAATGAGAATAAACCATCCAAAGAACATAAAGGAGAAAAATTGCAAGGAGTGTGGGTATAATTATTCCTGACTTCTCTCCTCAGTGGTATTAAGCATCATCTTTCTATTTCTGTCAGTTACACCTCAACTGGAGACCAGATTAAGAAAAGGGATTGCAAGTCAGATGCCAGGAAGGGAGAAGGGTAAAGAAGGAATTGCCATGGCGAGGCTGCGGATGGATTAGCATTCATCTTTACATTTGCTAGAGCTGAACAGTTTACAAAAATCCATTTTATGTGATTTGTCGTTTAGGGGAGTAGGATTGAAGGAGGGCACCTTTGTGGTTTGGTCTGGCAAATCTTCTGTTTCCTTTGTGTGTGTATTCCCCTTTCCCCCCACTAAAATTCACCCTGGTTATGCACATGGCAAGCTTTCTTTCTGAGCCAGTTAAGTGCTGTTTGATTTTTTTTCTTAAATATGTATAGTTCTAATATGCTAGTGATATATTTTTCCAGGATATAGAATATCATATGGTACTAGACTATTTTCAGCTTTCCAAGGACAAATATGCTCTTATCAATGCCTGAAATTCCCCCAGCATAGAATCCCTCAGCAACTACCCAAAGCAATTTCTTGCCCATACAAAGAGCACCCCCACCCCCACAAGGCCTACTCGGAGTTGCTATGGTTGAGAAATGTGAAAGTTAAGGCATCCTTTCACTATGGCACACAAAGAGCACCAACATTGTCACCTCGTAAACACTAGGCTTGTCTCCAAATAGACAAGATGACAGTCTTAACAGAAGTAAAGAGGTTGGTGGGAGTAGAAAGGAAATAAACACAACTTAAAATGTAGTTCATGGATCCTGCACACACATTGCCCCCCACCCCCACCCCAATTTAGTATCTTTCAAATTGGTATCTACCATTTGTGGTCACTCGGGAAGCAAATCTCTTGTCATTCTTACCATCTACACATCTTCAGCAGAGCTTGCTTGGATATGGTCAGTGAGAGGAAGTTCTTGGAGACCCCAGTGGGGCATTCTGTGAACAAATGTGTGTGAAGGCTCTGAATGGCCCAGATGATGACACAGAGTTAAAACTGAGGACAAGTGGGATATTAGTTGTCTTTTGTGGTATTACTCGCCTCTTGTAGAGAGCTGTCTTTGTGGAGCTGCAGTCAGAGCCAGCTGACGAGGCCCCAGTTCGTACCTGAGAGGGGGAGTGTGGACTAAAGAAAAGCTAGCTACAGAGGGTAACTTATGGGCACCGACACCCTATCCAAAAACAGCTGCTTTGCACAACACCCAACAGCTTATATTGCACTGACCAAGAATTTATGGAGTGTTTTATTGGGTATCCCTGGACAGGGTCTCCACGGGCTTAGCCTACAATCATCTTAACAGTGGGCTGGGATGGACAATCCTTCTGGGCTCACTTAGTAGTCTGCTGTGCAGAGATACCATTTCCTCGAACCCAGCACCTTGGATAGAGTTGTCTATATGAAGGTATCTGTGCTCCCTGGAAGAACAACTCCTAGAGAACTAAGAGGCCACAGTGACTTCTTACGATTAAGTCTCATGTGTCTTGTCTGTACACTATATTCTATGTATTAGAAGAAAGTCATTAATTGCAGTCTACACTTAGCAAAGGGTGATCAGTCTCCATCTCCTGAACCTGGAGTATGAAAGAACTAATAAGACAATTTTAAAACTATCATTCAAGAGTAGGCTTAGGGCACACACCTATAAGCCCAATACTTGAAGGATCAGGAGTTCTAGGTCAGCCTTCCATGCATATTCAGTTCGAGGTCAGTATGGGCTACACAAAAATCTTTAAAAAGGGGTGAGAGTGGATAGGGGAAGAGGGAGGAAAAAGAAAAAAATACCATTCAAATCTGGTGTGGTGCTGTATGTCTGTAGCATTTAGGACAGACATTGAGGCAAAGGACTCAGGAGTTCAAGACCAGCCTGGACTACATGGAGACCCTGTCTCAAAAATAAGACAAAGAATACAACAAAAGTTGAACACCCAGACAAAAACATAAATGGAAATTTCATTCCTGGTATGAAGGCTCACTTTCATTTGTATTCTTAATGTATGAGAACAAGGCATAAAGAAATGTCTAAATATCTAGCAAAGCTCTTTCACAAGAATAAATGATCATGTTGCAGTATCAATGATGAGGCTTCTCAGTGGTATATAAAATAATTGATCATGCCCTGCTTCCAATAAATAGCAAAGAAAGATCTGGAAGAAATTGATCTTGTCTGTTAATGTAACATTCATTAACCATTTCTCTGATTTACCTTTCAAAATTGTTCAAGGTATGATTGGATCAATTTGTATCCTATACCAATTTTGTGGGAAGTTCTGAGTCAGCCCTAATGATTTTGAAGGAAAATGACTTCTGCTTGTATTTTCTTGATTTTTGTGTTTAAGGAAAATACTACATAAAAGCATGGGCTTTGTCACAAAACTATTTTAGCAGTTAAATGGATGTTAGGTGAACTGTGTTTTTGTTGTTGTTGTTGTTCAAATATTAAAAGCAAGGATATAGGCAGACCATAAAGCCATTTGAGACCATACTAGTTATTAAAGTATTGAGAACACTCCACACACCAGGAGGTAATAGACACTTCTAGTTCCCAACTCTACTTCAGCCCAGGATTCAGCAAGGACCGGATTGGAGGAAGTGTGGTTGCTCTGGGAACCTTCCTCTGTCACTATGTACATCTCCTTTGCTAAATGGACTTTGTGCTTTGTGCCTCATTAAGTATCTTGACTGTTACCCTGGTCTTTGAGTTGCTATAAAAAAAAAGAAACAAAACAAAAACCAAAAAACAAAACACAAATCGGGTAGCTTATCAACGTCAGAAATCTCTCAGTTCTCAGGGCTGGGAAGCACAAGACGCAGGCTCTCTCAGATTGTGTCACATGATGGCTCACAGAAGGTATCTTCTCTGTGTGCATTCACATGGCAAAAAAGGTCGAGCTAGCTCTCAGGAGCCTTTCACAGGGGCACCCCTGAGGCAATCACTTGTAAAACTCCCAGTCTTAACATACCATCACTTTGAAGATTAAGTTCTGACATTAATTTGGGAGTGCCCCAAACATTCAGAGCACAGATATGGAAAAACAGAATCCACAATTGTCTTTATAATCGTTTAAGGGGAATAGACTGAACTTGGAATAGAGTAACTTGTTTGTTTGTTTGTTATCTAAATATGGAGAAAATCAATTGTTCTGCCTTACTACAACAAAGCAACCATCACTCCACCTATTGGGTAAGATAAATGCCAAGAGCACAGCAGGGTCCCCGGAACAAGCTGCATGGACTTTAGGGCTAAGGCAACATTGCACCTTACAAGAAGAAAATTAACACAGGAGAGCTGTTTCCTGAAAGTCACACTTTGGGATTATTCTGAATGCCGGAGTTAAAGATGTTTTCTATTGTCCTAAAAGACATAAATCCACAAAAATCTAATCAAAATTCCATTAGCATAAAACATGTAAGCAGAAAAGAAGTGTTTTATTTGGATTGATTTTGGGGGTGTGTGTCTCAATTCATATTAATGCTTTCAAGAATTGCCAAGATCACAGATTCAAATAAGTTTAATATTTAAAATTCACTTTCATCAGCAAGGTAATTCTTTTCCTAAAAAATACAGAAAAATGCCTGTATCTGTAAAATGATTAACTCCAAGAAATCTGCTAGGTTTGCTTTTTTTCCCTTTCACTTTTTCTTAAATCTGTCTTATTCACAAATAGGATGTAAGAGGAAAGTACTTCCAGTTACTTACAGAATTTTTGGACCAATTTACATAGACTTTTAATATGAACCACTGTCTACATTATGAAAAACCAAGAAAAATAAAGAGAACAACCAACAACAAAACACCTCGGGTTCTTTAAATAAACTAATATAGAACCACCAAATTGGGACTTGTTTTTTTTCAACAATGATTTTTTTCTATCCATGAAATCAGAAAGAAATACAATAACTCATAAACTTCATTCTTACAAAGCATCATTAAAGATATAACACTCCACCAATCACATACACAAAGCATAAGCTAGTATAAAGAAGGCTGTAAAGATATAAAATGGTTATGCTAATTAAAGGTCTAACCAGCTAACACTATTACTGAATTTGATATTTTTCTTTTTTGTTAGCTTGTTTGCTTTTATGATATTTTCCTCAGTAGTGGTTTCCAAACCTGTTAGGTGATCAAATACTTAGAAATCATGATGGCCTTTACATTTCGCCATGAACAACTCATACATTTAATCCCAGCATAAAATTATATAAACTAGAAACAATTTTATCAGCAGAAAATATAACTTTATTATAGCCTCCACATCACAAAATACTACTATAAATAAAATATTTATTAGACTGCATTTCATAGCAAGATAATAAATAACACAATTTAAAACAAGCCAACTGCCTAGGAAGGTAGGATGCACAGATGAATTGTTGCTTGAGGCAGCTGTGCAGGCTCATCGTCCCATTTGTCTCCTGTCCCTTAGTCGTGTCTGATCTGTCTGCAGATGAGTTTTCTCGGCTGTCTTGAAACCTGGGCATCCTTACTTGCCCTGCTTTGGCTCCTCCCAGGAGGCACAATCTCGATGTGCTTCAGTAGTTTCAGTCTTGTCCCCAGTGTGACAAGCCAATCCGGAGACTACTATCATGCAATTTTGAGGTACCATAGATACCTCAGACTAGCTCAGCTTGAGAAAAACATGTTTGAAATGGGGAATTCCTGCTGATGTTTCTTTCCTTTCCAGGCAGTTTTGAGTTAGCTTTGCAGCGTGATGCTTCTTTGCCAAAGCACTTCGCCATTCATCTTGTTGGGAACTGTTCAATGCCAGATTCCCAGGTTGAAATCCAAGTCCCAACACAGTAGAGAAGGTGGGGCCTCTATGAGGTGGTAAGAGATTAAAAATGGTGACCTCCTGAAATGGTATTAGTGCCCCGAGAAAAAAGGCCCTCAGAAAACCACTTCATCCCTTCTACTGTGCGGGTTGTCAAGGGAACACATGAACCCAGAGAGCTGGTTCACATCAGACACTGAACCTTGGGCTTGCTTCTACTGTTCACAAGCCATCCAGTTCAGGATGTTTTGGCACAGTATCATGAATAAAGTAACCTCTTCTAGGATACAGACTGTGAATGTTGTTGCTTACCAAGTGCCTGGTGTACTTAACTAACAGTATCGATCACCATTGTGCAAATAAAGGCAAGATGCAGAAACCATAACTGAGTAACTAGCTCAATAACGACGAATCCAGGAGCCCAGCCTGAACTCTGGCTTCTTTTCCAAGAGCTATCACCATGGACAGACAAACTGCATTATCAACAGCCCTTTGTGCTCCCTTCCCGACCCTTCCTTGACTCCTTCCACTATTTCCATTTGAGATCTTGCTCAGGTATCCAAAAATAAACGATTTCATTGTCGTCTGCTACTAAGAGAAGCAGAGCCCAAGGCTATGCCAACCAGAAAAATCTTAGAAAATGCCTTTAAAATTCTGCAACACAATTATAAATTGATTCAGCATACTATGAACATCACAGCACGTACAACAATCACCAGAGAATCAAAGAAGTCCACATTTATCACTGGCATCTTAAGTCTCCATGCCCCTATAACTTAGCACCTAAACTTTTAAATAAGATAAGCTCTATCAAACATAAGTTTCCTGACCACAGCTATTACAATACCGGCTCTAACCATTGCTTCAGTTCCACAACAAACACGTCAGCAGTCTGTGACTGATCCCACTGTTTGCTTCAGTCTTGTTCATGTGGTTGGGAATTCCTAGTTCAGAAACCGGACCATTACGGTATTCAAAGTGAAAGTTCCAGGTTTTGAGTTTCATTACCTTTTCATACAGTGACATCCTGATAAGTATATGTCAATCTTTCAGGAAACTGAAACATATACTAGTTTTGGGAGGGATAAAAAGAAATTTAATCAGTGCTCACTGGTAAGATGAATGGGCAAACAGGCCAAAGAACTCCAAGTTTATCCTTGGGAACTGACATAACGCTTTGGCCTTAAATAAGAGAACAACCCAGGGGAACAAGAAACAGGCATAGTTAATAGTCCTGGTCAAGATGGGTACCTTTAGTTTTGGCATGAAATCTTTTGACAAAGTTGTTACTTGGTAGAGAAGCATAAATTTAACTGCTCCTTGGTCTGATCATGGTTAAGAACACATGCTATGTATATATATTTGTAGTCCAGCCATGCCCTTAGACTGTGCTGTACAAGCTATGTACACACATAGTATACCAGCCTAACCAGTCCATGTTTAAACACTAGTTGGAGCCTTGTGGGCAGTTCACTTCCCTTTGTGCCTAACATCCTGCAGTTTTCCCCAGCAGCCTGGCTGGATCTGCAGACTTGGAAACATATCTTAAGTCATACTGTAGTGTATTCTTATGGTGGTAAGGTTTTTGTGAGACGTGCAAGCCTCACAGAGGGAAAAGCAGTTCTGTTCTTCTCACAGACCTTCTCACATTTAGGTGGTGTACACTGACTCTTCATGTTGATATGAGCCTAAATATTATTTTAATTTTGTTTTTCATTTCTTAGACCATCCTACTATTTCGTAACATTTATTGCATAAAATTATTTAAATAAAGTGTCTCTAAATCAAAATTTAATTTCCATAAATGTCTACAGCAATGGTCACAAATTAACATGCAATTTAAACTGGTGTTCTCTGGCGGTATTTTCAGGAGAGTGTTGATCAGATCTTAACACCAGGATTAAAAAGGGTTGTCAATACATTTTCTAGTGAGAGGCATTTAAATTTTCAGTGTTCACTGTGATGAGAAGGTTGGTAGTTTAAACACTTTATTGCTGCTCTATGGTATACATAATTAAATGAAGCATGTTTAACCCAAGGGGACTTTAATAGGTTACTTGCAATTGTTACTGCAGGCAACAACTTGTACATGATTTTATTTCCAAATCCACAAAAAAACAAATTTTATACAAATCAGCACTGTAAAAATGTCAATTACAGCCCCAGAGGCTTTGCTGGCAGAATAATTGTCTAAACTCTAGGATATGGGAAAACAGTTTTTTTTTTCCTGTATTCATCTTTTTTTCCATTTTCTTTTTTACAAAAAATTTACAAGTGAAATGTTACTACGAAACTTTTTATAAGGAACTTTGCAAAACATTTACATTTTACCATCAACTATTTCTGTTTTAAAATCATTATGTAGATTTAATACCCTATGCTGCACATCAATTTATGTGGATGACAACTTAGTGACATGCATAAAAAAAAACACCACAAGGCATTAAAATGGAGACTTAAATACAAATATTGTTGCAATAAAACAGTTATAAAATTGAAAAATAGGACCTAACATCATGCTTATCTAAGTTTGACAAATTAACTTTTTCTCCTAGATTACACACTTTTATTACTGCTCTCGTGAGTGTGATAAATAATGACTTAACATCAAGTTCTAATGTAATCAGCAACACATACACAAACCTAACCAAAGAAAGTATACTGTAAGAGAAAACTATTCTAACACTGGAGTTCTACCATGATAAATACAGAGCTTTGCACTGATAATTTTACAAAGAAAAGCTTCGTAACAGTGGCAAAGAGAATGAGCAGTGAAATGCCATTAACAAGACTCAACTGCACATCTGTGCCCTGCTACGGCTATATCCCACTGAGTCAAATAAAGGACACTGAAATTTACGACTGCTGTACGACAGAGAGGTGGACTCAGAATGGTATGCGGAACAGACTGTCAAGATAGTTCTAATTTCAGTGGTGACATGTGCCCGCTGACTTGATTATTTTATATACTGTAAGGTTATCCAGATTCAGTCCAATACATTGATAATAGGCCTCATTCTTGGTGAGGATAACTTGCACTTCTGATGAGCATACATGGGTTCCGTAAAACTGGCTCATGGAATAGTGATGGCAGAGTGCTCATACTTGGTGCTAACAACGAAAAGTACAGCTTGGAGAAAACATGATTAAAACATTAAGAAAGTCTCTTTGCATAAAAAAATTTATAGCACTGATTGTGTAGCATGATAGATAAAATATATATTTGATGTTTCAGCTCCTATATAATAAAATTAAAATTAACACTACCAAATGCTCCTCTGTACCACACAAAACAACAAACTGATTCTGATGTTTTAAAGCCAGATACATCAGTTGTTAGGAGTACATTAAATAAAATATACAAAACAATTTACAAAATTCAACTAAAATTTAAAGACTTTGTTACAAGTCTACAAAAGCTTTAAGAAACTTGAAATTTATAACCACAGTGTAAAAATTTTTTTCCTTTAATCTCAAAGCTTTTTTATACAAACCGAAAGCACAAAAGGCCTTCAGTTTTATATAACGCTACAAAGGGCTGGCCTAAAGTGTACATAGTGTAAACAGTGATCATTACAGTATTTCTCCTTCATCAAAAATACAAGAAACATGATTTTGGAAGAGAATTCTCATGAGTAGTACTTTTCTTGAAATAATAAAGAATGCACAAGAAAACATAGACTTATATTCCAACCAATGATGGTAACAAACGAAGTAAGCAGAAACTTCAGTTTCCAAATGGTCAGTTTCAATAGTTATGATTCTGTGTAAATAAGTCCTAAAAAACACTAAGTGTCTTACTAATTTTAATCTATTAGAATAATCCAATTGTTTTCCATATGAAAAGTTTGGCCATCTTTCCTAAGAAGACGCTCTTCTCTAAGACCCTTGCACAAACAATGAAATATATTTTCAGTCGCTATTTAACTGAAAAGTATTCTGGTTTTCCAAAAATATTTTTTGCTTCATAATATCTTTTCTATTATACATTTGTTAAACTGTCTAGACCTTTAGGGAAAATTCTGTTATTGACACAACATAAAGATATCACTGTGATATAAGTTATTCATAAACCTAACATGTTACTAAAAAAAATTATATTTGCCAATTTTTAGTAAAGAAAAACAAAAATTATAATGTAGTTAAAAACAATTTTCTGCTGGCCTGGAAAAAGTATGATAATTCTTTCTTTGGCTACTAAGTCAAACCATAAAGAATCCAGCACACTGTAAGCATAACTTATATTTACATAATATGAAATTACACAGGATTACATAGATCTGATGAGAGTATTTCCAGTATGAACATTTAAAAAGAAATTTTGCTACCTAACACAGGGTTAGGCACACAGCCAACCCTAACTTCAAAACATTGTTTAAACTGCTTCCTCTTGCCTTTCGTGAGCTGAAGCTTGAAGCTGTTGTGAACTCTGTTATAATGAATTTTCCCCCAGCATTTTCCTAAGGTTTCAATCTAAAATTTAACCTAAGATTTTGCTCTAAGGTCCTCTTGTGTCTCCAAAATGGAGAAAATAATTGGGCTCCACTGATTGTCTGCATACACACTACTACAATGTAGTGGTGATAAAGACCTGAGATACATCTCAGATTGGTGTTTTGGAACGTAACCTAATTCAACTTTTGAAGAACTTTTTATTTTTTTAGAAAAGACGGCCAAAACTATTTTGCACGGATCTCTCCAAAAACCAAGCCAAAGAAACACAGTATTATCCCTATTGTCAGATAACAATCTGTTTTCTGTGCTACAGAGTAAAAAGAAGTGCATGTAAGTTATTACTGATTAAATTTTTTAACCAAGTACTTCCAAACAGATTAAGTCCAATTAAGGTCCAGCCTGCAAATTTGTATGGTCTGTCTCTTTAGACATGCTAACGACACATGATGTTATAAAGAAGGGAGGGCTTTGTTTAAAGGTTATGTGATGTACTTCCAAAAAACTACAGCAACTTATAGCATGGAAGAAATACTTTTCTGTTTCCAGTATATTGGTTTTCTTTTTCCATTTTTAAAAATTCAACACTCTGTGTGCTGAACCAAATCTAAAATTTCAAATCCCTGGAACACTTAAAGATGCCAAGGATGCAACGTGACTTCCTACTCTGATTTCCACTTGACCAGCCCATTTCCAGATTTTCAAAGGTGTGTAAACTTAAGTGCAGCACGAGAGGTCTTTGTTATAAATAGCGTTTCAGAATTCTTCCATGTTTGTCGAAACATTGGGAGTTGCTGGATTCGAATCTTGAGAAATGGCTGCAACTGTGACAATCCTTGGAGAGCCAAGCACCTCTGTAACAGATGAGTCCAGTTCTCCCGAGGTAACAATGGCGAGAGCCGTCCCACCTCCTTTCTTATTCTGGTGAGTTTTGACATGCTTGGAAAGGTGGTCACTCCGCATGAACCTTTTAGAACATTCTGGACATTCAAATCTCTTTTCACCTGAAAATGTAAAAAGTAAATGGAATTATATATATTTTAATTAAATGAAATTTTAGTTTTTAGTAATTTCTCTTCCAAGCACATTCCACTTTTCTAAGATATGATATATTGAGATATGCCTAGTTTGAATAGGTACACAATATTTTCTTCTTGTTTCTATGATGGTAGGTAGCAGATCCAAGGCCTTGTTCATGGTAGGGAAGTCTACCACTGTTATCTCCTAGTCCTTCCTGTTTAAAACCACCACAACAAAACAAACATCAAGCAAACAAGGTAGGAGAAAAACCATGTGGCTGAAAATAAAATACCTGAGCTTAACAGTCCTGTTTTTGCCATGAACTGGGGGGAAAAAGTTGGATTCCTGACAAAGGAGCTCTTGACAGTCTCTACCAACTAAACACAGCACGAAAGGGAAAGGCCATGTGTGCGGTAGCTGAGTTGATAGCTGGGTCTTGCCTTTAAACTTGAGAGGCATGATATATCTGAGAAACTATTTTAAGCTAAGAATTTAGTAGTATGCTAGATTTTTACAGTAAAAAAAAAAATGAGAGCTTGGAACATATACTTCAAATTAAATCCAGCTTTAAGCTTCCAAAGAACAATGGCGATATTTTGATCCTTAAACATGTTTTCTACAAAATATAAGTAGTTCTAATTAGAACCACTTCTACTTACTGGAATAAAAATCAAATGTTAACAAAAAAAAAAAAAAACAGGGAGGGGAGAAGGAGACGTCTCTCTTCTTTTTGAGTAATGGGATAAAACACATGGAAACCGGGTTGATGGTTCTATCCTGATGTTTACAAAAGCTAACTAGCTACTAACTTTAGTCCTTCCTTCCACAACTGTTAACGGCAGTGAAACGGGGTTTTCCTGGCAGGAAACAGAACTCAGATAATATGGAGATTTATTTGTCAGTTGTTTTTTTTTTTTTCTTGCCCCTCCTCTGATTTACCAAAAGAAAATCTACAATTTCAAGTTTTGGTACATCAGATCCACCCTCCTCCCCCAATTCTGCCCTTGCAGATTACATTTACAATATACAATTTTTCCTTTTATAGGCTAAATAAATGCATTGGACAAAATTCTCAGAGGCACTGAAATACAGGTAGCAATTCTCTAAAGTAAAGGAGCCCATATATTATGAATACTGACACTCTGCAAGAGTGAAAATTAAATACAGCGGAGAAACAGTCTTGACGTCACTTACTACTGGACCATAAAAGATTTCGGTTTACAACTTTCAAGCTAGAAAAACACTGAAGATCTAGCTTTAGAGTTTTGTTGAAACTAGCTTGCCCGGAAGGCACAAAACCTAATGTGGGCTTTTTAATGTTACATCCACAGGGTGACTACAGGCTGCCATTTTTTCACAACGTCTGATTCTCAGGCCAGAGGGTGATGGTCTGAGATGTGGGAGCCTCTTCTAAGTACACAGCTGGAGATGCATGTATATGGTGGCTGTCTGGCAAACACTTATTAATTGCCATGTTCATAAACTCGGTCACTTTCCAACAGTATTTGTAGATGATCTATTCAAGGCACTGGCTACAGAGAAACCGAACACTTCTGACTTTAACCCCTGCTCTTAAATTATCAGCCACTGTGCAGGTCTATCACTCCAGTGAATAGTCCAGAATCTAAATCTAGCCCACAGCAGTTCCATGACAAATGGCAAAATGAAAACAATGGTGGCATGCTTAGTGTGGACTCCCCCAGGCTTTCCACTCATCCATTTGGTTACCAAATTAACTTCAAGCCACAAAGGAGCTGGCTAGAATCTCAAATATTCAAATTATACTGTGCAAGTATACTTTTACTAGGGAAATGACTCCTTTTAGCTCAATGCCCTTTTCCAGAGGAGTGTTTCCTGCTATGTTGGGTAATAATTTCTTATTTCCTACCTTCAACAAACACCATCAGTGGACTTTACTTCAGTGGATGTAAAGAACAGTTATATTTTAACTACAGATGATACAATTTTATAGTCAAAATTATTTTAATTATTCCAAATCTTCCTGGGCTTTCAGACTTTGTAATTATCTTTTCTGATTAAAGCATCTACTTATCAAACCTGAAGATAATGGCTACTATCATAGACAAGATGGCCCTGCAAGGCTGTGCATGTCCCAATCCCTAGAAGTTACATATATGCTACAGGGTAATGGGGTTTCACAGCTGTAGAAGTAGGTGATGGAATCTGATACAGGGAAATTAGTCTCAACTGTATAGGTGGTCCAAGCTAATCAGACCAGCTGCTCAAAGAGACCTCCCTATACCTAGATTTGGAGAGGTTAAAGATGTGACAGGGGCCAACCGGAGTTTTGAGGTGCCCCAGGACAGGTGTGAGAGAAAGGCAGGCACCATTCAAGAGCAAACACTGGCCAGGTGACCAACAGCAGGGAGCAGGGACCTGACCTAACACCAAGGCTGAACTGGCTGGGGGCCCAGGGGGCTTCAAAGCAGCCACCCATGTCCCTGTGACCTAAAGAAACTAAAAAAATCTGTGTTCTTTTAAATGGCTAAATTTGTATTGTTCTCTTCAGCTCAGTTTTATGAATTTTTATAGAAAGTACAGAGAATCTTGCCAAGTGCTTACTATTATTTAAGCCATTGTCATTTTCTTCTTTCATTATTAATCTGCTAAATTACACTACCTGAATGATTTTCAGATGTTCAGACTTCCAAGCCTAGAATGAAGTCTTCTTAGATCTGGACCCAAGATGTTCTTTCTTGGAAGTTTTTTTTTTTTGTTTGTTTGTTTTGTTTTGTTTTGTTTTTTACAACAAATACAATTTCTTTACCCAACAGGACTTTTTTGTGATATGTGTTTTGTTTGTTTGTTTGTTTTGAATTTCAAGCTGGGCTAGCTTGGCCTTAAGGGCTACAGTGAATAAACATGCAGCTGTATTTTTGGTGGTCCAAGGGGCTGCACTCAGGGCTCCAGTGTGCAGTATCAGTGCTCCTTTACTGGGCTATCTTCCAAGTGTTATCCATTTCTCCTTGAGCAAGTACTGGTCCTGTGCCTTTTCTAGAGCTATTTTCAAATTTAGTATAGAGTCATGCAGCTTATCCATTTATGACCCACTTAATTTCTACATTGTCTTCAGAGGCGGTTCACACCGTTTTCTTGGTCAATGTGACTGGGGGACTTAGACATTTTATCTTCCCAGCAAATCTGATTTGGGGTTCAGTGGTCTGGGTATAATCAGCTCAGCATGTGCCAAGCCTGGTGGGCAATCCTGAGTTTTACCTCTGGCAGCACAGAAAACAAACCCCATGCCCACAAGCCTGGGTTTGAAAGGTTTTCTGACCTGGTTTCCAATTTCCATTATTATTTAACTTCTCATTTTGGATATCTTCATTTTCTTGTTTAAGGGAAAAAAACTTGGGGATTACTGACTGAAAAAGAGGATTTCGTGTGAGGGACTTCACATCCAGTAGAACCTATTTTCTAATTTTCCTTGACACTTTCTCTTGGCCCATGGGTAACTCAGAGATATATATACAAGGTCTCAATTACATGGCTCCAGCTAGCCTGGAATTCACTATGTGGACCAGACAAGCACTGAACTCATAGAGATCTGCCTGCCTCTATTTCCCTAGAGCTGAAACTAAAAATGTGTACCATTATGTCAGACCCTAACTTAATTTTTTGGTAATTAATATTGTTCATCTTGCAAGTTTCTTTCTAGTAACATGTGTTGTTTTACCATCAAGAACTTTTGGATATAAAAATAATATCATGAAGTACTACTTCTGATGCAAATGCTTAATCTGATTTCATCTTGGAAAAAGTCTGTCTGGAGAGAAGGATTAATGGGCAACATCACTTGTGCAGCCATTAGGACCTGAATCTGAATCTTCAGATCCCAGCACCCATGTAACAAGTTGAAGGTGGTCTGGCATACATCTGTAACTGCAACACTATACGGGGGTAAAGACAGAAAGGTCACTTGGGTTTGCTGGGTGTCAGCCTGCCCTGTGAGCCACAGGTTCAGGAAGAGACCCTGCCTCAAAGGAAGAAGGCACAGAGTGATAGAGGAAATATTTGATGTCATCTTCTGGCCATGCATGCACACAGGAGTGTGCATCTGCACATATACAGGTGCACATAACATACCGACAAAAAGACTTTTTTTGTTGTTTTTGTTTTTTGAGACAGTGTTTCTCTGTGTAGCCCTGGCTGTCCTCAGGATGAAAGAGGAAATATTTGATGTCATCTTCTGGCCATGCATGCACACAGGAGTGTGCATCTGCACATATACAGGTGCACATAACATACCGACAAAAAGACTTTTTTTGTTGTTTTTGTTTTTTGAGACAGTGTTTCTCTGTGTAGCCCTGGCTGTCCTTAAACTCACTCTGTAGACCAGGCTGACCTCGGAATCACAGAGGTCCTCCTGCTTCTACCTCCTGAGTGCCGGGATTAAAGGTGTGCACCACCACCATCTGGCTACAAAACACAATTCTAAAAAAGAATTCTTAACTTGTAGGCTGGGTTGGCCTGGGATTTATGATGTAGCCCAGGCTACATTCCCATGCAGACTCTTCCTCCTTAGCTTCTTAAGTTCCTGGATTCTAGGACTATGCCCCCATAGGTGGCTACATGGTCCCAGTTTGCTTTTGCTGTCGAGGACATCCTCCCTTGTTCCTTGGCCCCAATATTTTTTAGGGAGCCTACTATCACTTACATTTTCATTTCCTCCACACATAAATGGATCATTTTCTTTTATTGCCCTTCACCATTCTCACCATCTCTGGTCTGCAGCAGACTGATCACACGACATGTCTAGGCATGTTTTCCTTTTAGCACCTATCTAGAGTTTGGCTAACTTTTCAATCTCTAATTAATACCTAATTGGGAAACCTTGGCCAGTGTACATTTTTTCCTATATCAACCTCTTCCCTTCTTTTCAATGACATGAACTTTAGATCCTTTATTTCTGCCCATCACTGAGGTCCATTTAACTCTCTTGCTGTCTTAATCTTTCCCTTTT